TTTCTTCGGAGCTTCGTATCGTATTGTACGTATCCTTCTAATACAGTACGTACGTATCCGTTGCATACGTACAGTACAATATGGGAAATGATTTTGTTTTCGCTCTTACAAGTACTTGTACTCCTGTACTGTATGGTACATACATACCACACGTCCAACTTAAATCTGAGAAATAGGAAAAGTACGGTATTGTACTGTACCGTACGTAATTATTTACTTCCTACTGTTCTACTACAGGGACGTTGTGAAACAGCAAATTTCCATGTACACTTAGCTACCAGATATCCGACTAGTTCGACTACAGTAGATTGTTGCTGCAACGCAACGCCTCTATTAAAAAACAGGGGGCCCGGGAAACTATTTTCATTTAGGTCCAATTTCTCTGGCTGTTTCCTGGTAGATTTATGGTAAAAACATTATCGATTTAAGGTAGAAACATAGTTGATAATTGGTAGAAATATAGTCAACATGTGGTAGCCCTATCAGCACGTGCCATATCTGAGACTCCAGGTCTAGTATAAATTATACACAGGGGATCTGGGAAGGCTACTACCAAAAATCGACTAGAAATCAGATATCAATTAGATATAAATTAGATATCGATCAGATTTAAATCTGATATGTATTCCTTTTCTCGTCGATTTGTAGTCCAATTCTGGTAGCAAAAAAATCGAATTTTGATGAAATAGTTTCCCGTATACCCTTTTTTTACAAGAGGCGTTGTGTTGCAGCAACAATCTACCGTAGTCAAACCAGTCGGAGATCTGGTAGCTAAGCGTACGTGGAAATTAGTCGTTTCGGAACGTCCCAGGGTTCATAGTCTACCGTATGGAGGGACTCTACCGGTATGTACCGTACGGTACTGTCCTTCGTAGGAGATTTCCGTTCAAAACAAATAGGGGAGACAATATCAAAATATCCCCCCCTCTCATTCATTACCCCGTTCAGAATCAAACTATTGGATATCAACGCACTCTGTCCATCCATGTTCCAAAAAGTAATTCCTCAACCATCTGCCTCCAACCTTCTCTAACTTGACCACGCAAGAAATCTTAGAGTTTCTCAAGAAAAAATCTTTTTGAAACCGGTACATTGAATCCGTAAAAACATCCCGTACCTTTAGAACAACGCTGATTTCTTCTTACGCTTCGTGAAAGTGCACCACTAAATCTACCAAATTGTCGCACCGCGATTCAGATCATAGTTTCTCAAACTTGTTGAGATGAAGACATGGCATAGAGGAGCGCCCCGTATCTCTCGAAATACCGAGGGCACGTTGTGTAACAACAAGCTTCTTTGGGAAATTCCCCGGACGCAAATGCCGAGAGGCAACCCGGAAACGAGTACCGGTCGATGTGCCGCTCCAGCAACGACTGCTATAGGAGCAAGAGCTTTTGGAGCAGGCTGTCGATCGCCGTCAGAGCAAAGTTATGCTGTAAACTCAACGGGGATTACTTTCATAATAACAAAAAAGAAACTATTTGTGTGCATGATCCTGCCTGGTGGTGGGTGCAGGCTTCAAACCTGTAGACGGCTAGCGCCGTAGTTGTTCGATTCAACCTTGCGCACGGTGCGTT